ATGTAACCTAATTTAGTGTTATATAACTATCAGATTCAATCTCTGTGGTTAGAACGATGTTGTTGTTATTGGTCCAGCGGCGCATGAGCTTTCGCTCTTTGGCCCAATGCCATGGAGTGGAATTTGCTTGTTTTTACAAGCTGTTCTTTTCCTCCGTACAAGGTGTTCCACTTGTCTGGTCTCGGGGGGAGTAGCATTCTTCTAGTCTCGTTGAGTTTTGGGCACTCAAAGAGATGATGGTCAACAGTTTCGTAGGAGGTAGTTACATAGCTGGCACTCTTGGGATTGTTGTGGCTGTATTTCGTTTAGATTTCCATTGAGTGGAGTATTTTGTGTTCTGAGTCTGAAGATGGTGGCCTGGTCCTTTATTGTTAAATTGTTAATGCTGTCGTTAGGATCAGGGCTAGCCATGTGTCTATAAACCTCTGTTCCAGTATCTCCCATGGCCCATCTGTTCAGCCAAGTCTCTTTGTTTATAGCTTTTAAAAGTGTTTTTGCTGTTTGTAGGGTTGTCGCTGTAGGTGGTTGTTCTTGTGTTGCTCCTTTCTTTGCCCGTCTGTAAGCTCTGTCATTGCCTGGTGTGCTGGAGTGACCTGGAATCCACTGCATCACTATTCTGATGTTGTATGAGGTAATAAGCTGATCAGCATCCAGGATTATTTTGGCTATGTCAGTTCTGCAGCGTTCACTGCCCTCCAGAGCTTGAAGAGCAGACGTTGAATCGTTGAAGATGACAATATTTTGGGCCTTTGAAGGATAAACATCAATGACAGTCTTTCGGTGGTATACTGCTGTTTCCAGTGCAATTATTTCATCTTCGTAATTTGAGCAGAAAATCCCACATGCATCAAATATCTCTTCAATAGATCCATCAAGATAACCTATGTAGATTCCGTAACCTGCTTTAATGGTAGCTTTGAATGCAGTTCCATCAGTATAAACATGTATCTATTCTTGGGGATAAGAATCAATGGTCTTTAGTGATGAGTTCATTAGAGTGATTGGATAGGGCTGTTTACTTTCTTCATCTACCAATTTCAACCGGACTTCTGGAGCTTTAGAGCGAGCATGTGGTGGTAAGTTTCTTGCAACATTCTGAAGGCCCTACGTATTTCTGGGATGTGGTATTTGTCCTGTACCTCATGT